GTAATGCTAATTACTCTTGCCTTTACTTCTCCTTCACATCTCCTATTCATGATTCAAGGACTTTCTTTTCCCCTTAGAGACAAGAGTTATGCAATTTGGGAGTCTTTTAGATAGACCCACTGAAGGGGTAGTCCAATTACCTCACCCTGCATCCCTGTTCAGCATAGAAGCCAGAGCGGTCTGAGTCCCTATTCCACATTGGCAATTTGGGTTTGGGTAACCCCTTCAGAGGACGGCATGATAAGAATAGAAGGTAGGAATTGGCTAGGCAGTTAGGGTAAAAAGACCCCAAAGAAATGTAGCCTGTCTGCAATAAAAGTCAAAATGTCCTTGGGCCTGTTAGGAATACACTCTGTTCCAAAGGCCAAAAATGTCAAAAGTATTTGGGAGCTTGTATGTAATCCTTAAAAGATTTTAGGGTTACCTCTTCAGAGGGGGGAATCTTGGGTGGGGGGGAGTGGGCATGGATTTGATCAAAATACCTTATATGCGTGTATGAAATTCTCAATAAAGTTTTTGTAAAAGTTTAAAAAAAAAAAAGACTTGAATAGAAAGTCACTGAAAAGTCTTCCCACTATTAAGAATATGGTTACAGCATTACAGCCAAGATATCGGTACTACCTAGGTTGTGGATCTCTGAAAAGGATTTCATGGGTAAGGAACCTTGGAGCCAAATGTATGATGCATGCCAACAGCAAGATGAAACAATAGGGCTCCGGGCAAAACGAAGTCCTTGGGTCCTGAAAGGCAGCCAGAGAAGCGGCACAGAATAAGCTGTGCTCAAAAATCACAATTCCTAGCCAGAACAGGAAGATGTATTCATAATCACCTCCTCTTAGATTTTCCAAAATTATTCTGAAACAAACAAACAAACAAACAAACAAACAAAAACAGCTGAAACAGTGCGAGGATGCATGCCTGTAATCCTCGCACTTGGAAAACTGAAGCAGGGAGATGGAGAATCCAAGGCCTATCCCAGTCTACAGAGTGAGTTCAAGTTCAGCCTCTAGAACTTAGTGAGACACTGTGGGAAATGTAAAAGAAATGTACTGTCTTTTCCATCAAAGAGTTAAAACAAAACTTCATGCAAAGAAGCCATGCAGCAGAAATTCAAATTCCTCTAAGGTCAGCACTTCTCTGAAATCAAAATACATGTTAAAGGTTGCACTTGGTGCTAAAAACTGCATTCTACTTATCAACTGTCTCACTTTAAGTTAATCACCTAAGAATAATACGAAGCCAAGCTCTGACCACTCAAAGTGAATGCCTTAAAAATAAAAACTCGGGGCGGGAGAGATGGCTCAATGGTGAAGAGCACTACCTGCTCTCAGAGCCGACTAGGGTTCCGTTGACAGCGTGTACAAGGCCAGTTCCGGGGGTTCCTACGCCACCTTCTGACTTCTGAGGGCATTGCACACAAGTGATGTGCACTTCCACCCACGCGGGTAAAACACTCATACACATAAAATAAAAAATAAATAGCAACTTCAAAAAGCATAAAAACCCACGGGGACCCCAGCAGTGTGTGCTTGCCTGTTTGGCTTGGCACAGCTATGCACCTTCTGTAGAAGTAAAACTTTTTGCCTTGCCTTGCCGAAATACTTGAGACCCTAGACCCAATTCTAAGAGACCGTCTCAAAACCAACCAAACACCACACACACACGACTTAGGGACTTAGACAAAGCTGCAGCCAACCCCTACTAGGTAAAGGCAGAGGCGGAAGCAGAAAACGAAGGCAGCCAGGGGTGCCTCACCAGCTCCAGGTTGCCCAGGAAGAGCTCCTTGGCGAAAGCGGGGCACTGCGGACTGGTGTGCAGGGGGCGGCGCCTCGCCCTTAAGACTTCCAGCCCCTGCCACGCTCGCGCCACAGCGGCCGCGCGCCGGAGCAGGGAACAGCCGAACATTCTGTCTGCGTCGCTCCAGAGGTCAGATCGTCTGAAGCCTGCCGGGCCGCCGGAGGAGGCTCCAAGCTGCGCGGTCCGATGACGCTAGTCGCCCGCGTCCTAGGAGCCCTCCGCCCACCTGTGGCCCAAGGAACGCCCAAAGTCCTGAAACCGGAAGCCAGCCCGCTTCTTCTGAAGACGTAACGAGCAGTGTCACAGCCTGACGCCACGGACGCTCCGGGCTTGAGGTACAGGCCTGGTCCTTCCTGAGTGTCAAGTTTAATAAATGCCTTCTACGCCAAGCATTGCTGTATGTACATAAAAGCGTGCTTTGTTTTAATCATCTGAACGAGCTAGGGATTTTTGTGTTTCTTGGCATAATTTTAATAGTAAAATCAAGACATTCAGAGGTTAAGCTGCCAGACTAGGGTCTGGAACTTGTGTGCTTAATGCTAACCACGTTCCTTAAATAGAATAGATTTAGACAAATAGAGAGACTTAGATGCACAGCCTTACTCTCTGTGTTCTCATCCCCCTTAATATGGGACACAACCTATTCTCAAATAATTTTTTTAGAGTCCTAGTGATCCCATTTTCATTAACCATCTTCACCAACTCCTTTTTAGGATGAAAATGATATTCCTCTATAGTGAGGTTACATGAAGCACCAACTCTTTCATCCCTTCCTAAGCCTATCAACTGTGTGTGTTGTACACCAGCTAACCTGGCCTCTGCCAGCCACAGACTTCGGACCCAACCCATTAGCCTGTCTGCCCCACTCCACCACTCCTTGTGAAAATCACTTCCCCTATGTCAGTATCCTTACCTATTAAATGATGAACACCACAGGGTTGTTAAGACTATCATGTGACTTTACATTGAAATTCCGCCTCTCAGCTCACCCTACGTTTAAGAGTTTAGCAAACTATACAGAGGGGGAAAAAATCAGGATTTTCTGATTTGGTTTGCTCCTCATGATGACAAGCTTTCAAAATCTCTGGAGAGCTGATATAGCATAAACAACACAAACTAGATATATTTGACTTTCACTTACGTTTTAAGGTCATAATAGCCTAAGATCTAAAATGCAGACCATATCGTGCATTATTATACTAGGAAAACACATGGAAAATATGCAAACACACAAATACAGAATTCCTAAAGCAATGGTGCAGTAGAAGAGACAAATAATCACAGTAACTCACCAGGTCATAATGTGTTTTCAGAAAAGACAGGAAAGTCAGATATTTGATTCTCAGATAACCAGGTGACAGAATTGCGCTGGAAAAAAAAAAAAAAAAAAAAAAACCTTTATTCATGGAGACAACACATAAAGAAGATACAATACCTGACATTACTGAAGGTATTTTTTAAAATAAACTTTTATTGAATTGTTGAGAATTTCATACAATGTATTATGATCATAATCAGACATCCCCCCTCTCTTCTCAGGCCCAACCTTCTTCCTCCCCCTCATTTAATGACCTCTATTATTGCTGTTTTAAAGTCATCTGGAGTCTAATATGTGTTTCCAAAATGCCCTTGGGTGTCAGTCCATACCCTGGAGCCTAGTCAACTTACCCAGCATCACACTCTTAAAGAAAACTACTCTGTCCCCCACCCCCACCCCCCAGCAGCTATGAATTACCAATAGTTCCTCAGTTAGGGCTGGGGCTTCTTGCCTACCTCCCCTACCCATGATGGGTTTTGTCTGCCTTGGGCTTGTACAGGTGTTGTGCATGCTGTCACAGCATTGTGGGGTCATATGTGTAATTGCCCTATAGTGTCCAGAAAACATGATCTCCTTGTATTCATCCACCACCTCTTGCTCTTATGGTTTTTCTGCCCTCTCTTCTAAAAATATCCCTTGGAAGGAAAGGGTGTGATATAGGCCAGTTGTGAGTCTCTATGTTAATTGCCATCTGCTATAGGAAGACGAGTCTCTGGTGAGAGTTGAGAGATGCATTAATCTGTGGGTATAACAATAATTCATTAGGAGTCAGTTTAATGCTATGTCCATCTAGCAGGATAAAACTTGTAAGTTCTTCTCTACAGCCTGTGACCTGTCTAGTCACAAGTTCTTGGCCCTGATGACAGTGCCAGATATGGGTTCCATCTTGTAAAGAAGGCCTTAAATCCAATTATCCCTAACCCTAATCCTAATCCTAACTCTAACCCTAACCATAATGTTGCTATAATCCTAAACTTAACCCTAGTTCCAGCCCTAACCATACCACTAAACTTATCCCTAACCCTAACCCTAATAGCCCTAAACCCTAAGAATACCCCTAACTCTGAAGACTAACCAAGCCCTAGCCTTACCTTATCCCTAACAGTAACACCAACAACAAAAAGATCCTCAACCCCAATCCTAACCCCAGGGCTAACCCTAACATTAAGCATAAAATTAACCCTAACAATAATCCTAACCTTAATTCTTACCCCAAACCTAATCCAAACATTAAATCTAACCCTAACCCCAAATCTTCAACCCCTAATCCTAAACCTACCCCTTACATTAACCTGAACCCTAAATCAAACACTATCAGTAACTCCAACCCTAACCCATCCCTAGCTCTAAGCCTAACCTTAACCCTAGCCTTAATCCTAAACCTAACCCTAGCCTCAGCCCTATTTCTAGCCCTAATAATAGCCTTAGCCCCAGGCCTAGCAAGAACAATGGTTCTAGCCCTATCCCTAAGCCCTAACTCAACACCAAGCCCTAATCTTAATACTATCTCCAAATCCTAACCAATAGCACTAACTCTAACACTAATCCTAGCATTATCCCTAATCCTAATGCTAATTCTAACCCCAAATTTAGCCTTAACCCTAGCCCTAGCCCTAGCCCTAGTCCCAGTCCTGACAGAAAACAAGGCTTAGCCTTAATCCTAGCCCTAACTGAAACCCTAACCCTAAACCTAAACCTAACTGTAATCATAACCCTAGCCTATCCCTTGCCATAACCATAACCATGCCATAAAAATAAACTTAATCCAAAACCAAGCCCTACTCCTATCCCTAACCTTAATCCAAGTCCTATCCCTAGCTTTGCCTTAGCTACATGCCCAACCCTACCCTTAACCCTACCCGTAAACCTAAGTCTAACCCTAAACCTAACTCTAACCCTAACCTTGAACCCTGAACCCTGAACCCTTCCTAACCCTAAAATTAGCTGTAATATTTACCCTAAACCTAACCCTAATCCCAGCCCTACTCCAAACACAGTGCTAATTAACCCTAAACCTAACCCTATCCTCTAACTCTAATAATAAACCCTTACCCAACCACTAACCCTAACACTAACCCAAATCCTATCGGTAATCCTAACCCTAAACATAGGCTTGAATTTAACCCCAGCCCTAACCCTAAGCCTAACACTAAAACTAACCCTAATCCTAACATTATCTCTAACCCTAACCATATCCCTAAACAAATCCTAAAATTAAAGCTGGCCTTAGCTCTAGCCCTAGCCCTAGCCCTAGCCCTACCCTATCCTTAACCCAAGTCCTAACCATAACTCTAACCCCAATCCTAACTCTAATCCTAACCTTAAATTTAATTATGGCCCTATCCCTAATCCTAACCCCAATCTTAGCCTTAGCCCTAGAGCCCTAGACAGAAAAACATCTTAGCCCTAGACTTAAGTGCAAGCCCAATCCTAGGTCTAGCACAAGCACATACACTAACCCTAACCCTAATACTAACCCAGAACCCTCAACCCAAACACTAACCCTAAACCTAACCCTCATCTAATTCTAACATTATACCTAACCCTAACACTAATCCTAACCCTAAATATAACCTTAAGCATGGCCCTAATATAACCCTACACTTAACTCTAGGCTTAGCCATAGCCATAGCCCAGCCCTAAACTAACCCTAGCCCTAACCTTAGCCCTAACCTTCACCAAACACTAATCTTGATCCTAACCCTCACCATAACACTTCTTCTAACCCTAACCCTAACTCTAGCCCTAGCCCTAACCCTAACCCTAACCCTAACCCTTGCCCTCTCTCTGTGTGTGACAAGTTGTGGAACTCTGTAATTATCTCTGTTTCTGTCTCTAAAAAAGAAGCTTCTTTGATGGGTGGTGATTGGGATACTTGTCTATAAATTTAAGGATCCATATTTTTCACATAGTAAGAAGTTACAACCCTCCCAGCTCCCCCACCCTGTCTCTTCTCCTGGTTGTGGGCACCGGCCCATTTCTTCTCTTGGAACCCCAGTCCTCTGGACTGCCCTCTTTGCCCAGACTCCCCATGGCTTCCTGATCCTTTGCACCCAGACCAACCCAATATCTCATTTTCGGGGCATGTTCCCTCCCCCACCTCACTTTTGCCTACCTGAGACCAGCCCTCATCCCTGGCCAGCCCAGCCCCCAGGTTCCTGGAGCCAGCATCTTTCCTGGGTAAGTTCGGCTGTGCCCACCGTGCCTTAACTCCCACAGCCTTGTTCACCCACCCAGCTCCCCTACTCTGCCTCTCCTCCTAGCATGAGCACTGACCCATTTCTTCTCTTGGCACCCCAGTGATCTGGACTTCCCTCTTGGCCCAGACTCTCCACGGCTTCCTGATCCTTTGTACCCAGACCAACCCAATACCTTGGTCTGGTCCCCAAGAGCCCTCAAAGCCTGGTCCCTCCCCCAACTCACCTTTGCATGCCTAAGACAGGCCCTGATCCCTGGGCAGCCCAGGACCTAACTTCCTGAGGCCAGCATTTTCCTGAGTAATTTTGACCACACCCATCCCAGCTCCCCCACTTTTCTCTTCCTGGTGTGGATATGGGCCCATTTCTTCTCTCCTATCTTTCACCTTGCATTAAAGTCAACTCCAAATGGATCAAAAATCTCAATGTGAAGCCTGAAACTCTAAAACTGTTAGAAAACAACATTGGCAATAACCTACAATATATAGGTGTAGGAAAGGATTTTCTAAACCAGATATCAATTGCTCAAGCAACAAAGTCAAGAATCAACAAATGGGACCTCATTAAACTAAAAAGCTTCTGTACATCAAAAGACACAACCATGCAAGTGAAGAGAAAACCCACAGAGAGGGAGAAAATCTTTACCAGTGACACATCTGACAGAGGTTTAACATCCAGGATATATAAAGAACTCAAA